ATAAATATAAAAAATTAAAAAAAATAATATATATATATATATATATATATATATATATATATATATATACATATATATATATATAAAATAATTTTTTGTTAAACAAATAAAAAAACATAATAAATTATACAGTACAGTGCTAATTTAATCAAAACATGCACACCAAGCAAATCTAAACCATTTTATTGTATTCAAAGTTTATCAATACAGTACATTAATGTTGACCTGATATTGACAAACACAGACACAAACCCTCACTTGTTTCTTGATACCTCAATAAAAATTTATGACCTCAATATAAATTGATATAGCTTATTCATTGGATGAAATGCTATAGAAATTATGCAAATGTTGCTGACTGTTTTGTTTACGATTACCACAGTATCACTCACTTTTGCAAAATGTAAACAAATGTATTAGACTTCATGGTAGGGTATTAAATTTAATAATTAAAACTTGAAATGTTGCTTTTACATCATACAAGATCCTCTTTGGTATAATTTTTTCATACTCCCATAATATTATAATAAAAAGTATATTTGTCTTTTATTGGTATGAATTTATATATTACCTGTGTTACAGGTCTTCAGTGTTTCTGTTGCATTAACCGCTCCATTCTCTGCATAGCATGTGATGTTTGACTTACAAACCTCTTCATTAATTTTCACAGAAGCAGTAAATGTCCCATTCTCAATCATTTTCCCATCTTTGTATATCATTACAGAAGACGGTTTGGGATGACCCTCTGCAGTGCATGTTGCAGTGCCAGCTTCTGATTCAAATGTAACTGTAAGATCTATTATAATTAAGGAAGAAATTAGGTTTAGTTAATATTGAAAAAAGTTTTTATTATAATACATAATGAAATAATAAAGAATATACAGTAACTATCAACTTCTCACCTACAAATGTGTCCTTATTGCAATAGAGTGGAAACATGATGAAGCCATATATTCATGTGATACAGCAAAGGGGACACTGCACCATGCTTATATGTCTTGATTTTTTATTGTAATAACATCTAGAGTGTTACTTAACTAATTAATTTATATTTACAATATACATAAACTGAAAAAAAAAACTGGAAAAGATTCTCAGACATTAAAATACATTATGATCCGAAAGATAAAAGAAGATATTAAAATTAAAATATACACATACATATTACTTTCAAGTCAATTTCATTACTGGTTTTGCCATCTTTTCCTCTGAACTGATCACTTTCAGCTTTACACATATACAGGCCACTATCAGGTGCAGTTGCAGCTTCAATGTGTATTTCAAGTGCATCTTCACTTGTAGTAAATCTAGTGCTGTCTGTGGTGCTGAGTGCTTGTCCATATTTATACCATGTGATACTAGGGTTCGGGTTACCATCAGGTTTACTACAGGTCAAGGTCACTGATTCACCTTCATAAACGATAACTGTTGAGGCAGTGAGGACAGGCTTATCTAGATCTGAAAAATTTTAATACCCAAATAAATACATCGATATTAAAACAAATACTGTAAATCAAAAAGTATATTAGGTTTACAATCTGTTACTTTTAACTCATGAAAAAGATTGCTTTCAAATGTACTACTTCGTGCAAGGTGCTACTCTGTTTAATACCTCATTGCCTTGTAACTAGTATAGTCATTTTCAATGTATAATTTTTTTGTATAATTTATAATTCCAAATTGAATATTTCCTCAACAATCAGTATATACACTTTTGTTGATTTTGCTTTGTGAACTGTCTCCTAGTCATTATTCTGTTAATGAAAAAAAAGTAGACTTGCTCAGTCTTGTTTGTTTCTAATTTTCTAATAATTCTTGGCTAAAATTCTTCACTCCTTATTAAATATACTGTACATTTGGTATCGAGCTAATAATTCAAAATACCGTAGCATTAACATTATTAACTGATATATGATGAATACATATAATTTTGAATTTACTTGGTATTCTGTTAAATATGTTGCTGAGTAGTACAAATTTCAAAATTGGTGAAACAATTTGTAGAGAAATATATACTTTTTTGTATAAATAAAATACAATTCAAATCTTTCTTAATTCTGGAAAGCTCATTTCAATACAATTGATGTACTGGTCTCCCAAGAGGTCCAGATTTAGTAAAAAATATAATTTAACAAAATAACAAATGAAAGATAAAAGAAGTAAAAACAATTAATATACAATGCACAAATGAAATTAAAAGGCTTAAAAATCAACTTAATTAATAGTTTGGAAATGTTTACGAACATCAACTAGAAGGTCATTCCAGAGCATTGATTTTTGGGTGGAGTGTATCAATGAATTACAATTGATTAGGCAGAATTAGCTATCTTAAAACAAGACCTTGAACTTTGCAATGAGACCTACAACTTGGAATAATTTTTCCGAATATAATATTGATGATAAAATTCATTTTGTTCTTGGGGGAAAAATAATCTCTTTAATGATGATGTTCAATCTGCATTTGACAGATATTGTAAAACATTTGCTAAAAAAGCTTGGGATAGAAGATCAGATTTAAAAACAGGTTAAATGCATTGTTGCTTTAGTAATACATATATTTCTCTCTTTTTATGTTTTAAATTAAATTTCTTTTATATACTTTTATAATGCTTTGTATATACTGGTATATGTATTTCTGTGTGTATATATATCTTTGTATGTGTATGTATATATGTATGCGTGTATATATGTATATGTGTATATATGTATGTGCGTATGGGTGTGTGTATATGCTGTCTCACCATAGCCGTGACTTTCTTCGATCCCGGGTGCAAATGTCGCTCACCACTGCTTGAGAAGGGCGACACAGACTTTCATCACATACTTACACGCCCAGCAAATTCGTCGAGCTACGGTATCGCACGATAAAATGCCAAAAGGTCCCTTATATTACGGTGTATAAGCCACACCCCTAATGAGATGCGAAATATCACAATTTTTTTTGTCAACTAGCTGTGTATAAGCTGCATCTATTTTTTAAGCCCCAAACCGTTCCCATAATTTTAATTTTTTAATTATTTTGAAACACTGACATTATTTGCAAATGTTACAAATTTCATCTTTTTCTATTGAAAAGGATGAAATACAACTGGAAATGCGTGTAAACTTCAGGCTACAGCAATGAAACAACATACCGTACTCACGCAAATAAGCGCCCGGGCGCTTAAAATATTTTTTTGCACTTTCTGAGGGGCGCTTATTCGAACGGTGCGCTTATTTAAACGGGGCGCTTATGAAAACAGAGTGGAAATTGAGGGGGCGCTTATGGAAAAAGATGAAAATCGAGGGGTTCTTATGGGAAATTATTTTAATAATTAAATATTAAAGAGGCATTATTTGAATGAAAAAAAAGATTATAAAGGACATTACAAATGGTGGTTAGAAAAGAAAATCGTCCAGAGAACATGGCCCATAACAAGAATGCGTAAATATTTACATAACAGCAAAATAGCAGATGCAATTAGTGGTGGGTAGTGGTTGTTGGCCATCGGACGATTGAGATTAGCAGGATGGCAGGATCATTGTATTCTTCTTGAAAACTCAGATGAGAATGTGCTTAAGGTCGAAAAAAGAAAAAGAGGAGTAGGACTAGACATAGACAAATATGTAAAAAGATTAAAGTTGGAAATATACTGTCTGTCCAGGGATCGGAGCTCTCATCTGTCCAGGGATCGGAGCTCTCAACTGTCCAAGAGAAATATCCTTATTTTGATATTGACTGAAGAAGAATGTGTTTCCACTCTACAGCTCAAATCATGCCAACATCCACAGTCTAAGGATTGATTGGATTATTGACTTGCTAAAAAAAAAAAAAAAAATCTTATGAGGGGGCGCTTATTCAAATTAGAAGGGGCGCTAATTCAAACGAGGCGCTTAAGGAAATTTTCACGTTAGGAGGGGGCAGTTATTCGAGAGAGGCGCTTATTCAAATGGGGCACTTATTCGCGCGAGTACGGTATTCCTGCTCTGGGGAAATCCCCATTTCATGATAGACGGTCGTGCAACTCACAGCCTATTGTGCGAAGCATGAACTCATCACGCACCACGTTTTATAAACAAAAACAGAAGTGGAAAAAATATCGTGCGATACAAAGTTTACGCATGCGCAGATGAGGAATGCCTTTCTAAAGTCAAACTCAAGTAAAATAATTATTACGGGATAGGTGGCGATGTTGTATGTACGGTGAAAAATTTTAAACCAGAGCCTTGCAGGCGTCAACGTTCCTATGCATGATACATGACTTTAAGAAGTATATATACGTATATATACACATATACATA